AAAATAACTTAGGCTTTAGTTGCTGAGTGACCTCCCAAAACCATTGTTGGATATGGTTTGTAAGTCGCTGAACCTTGTGGTTCAATGGGCTGCCCTCCCAGGATTTCTTTGCCCAAGAACAGTCCTTGAAAACATGTAAAATAGACTCATTCTCCACTCCGCATACACAACACACACTATTCGAACGAATCTTCCTACGCCTTAAATTCTCATTTGTAGGGAGAGCATCCAATAGCATTCTCCAAGCAAAATTCTTAACTTTACTTGGAACTCGTTGATCCATAGTGCTTTCCAATTACCATCAGGAGTAGATGAAGAACTTGCATTATATATTCCCCATGAAAATAGATTACTCTCATAAGCCAAATGATATGCACTCCTTACAGAAAATCTACCATTTTTGTTGTAGTGCCTTATTAATTTATCTTCCAACGGATAAACTCCCAACGGAATCCGTTTAATTATCTCAGCTTCATGCTCAAAAAAAACCTCATCAATCAGTTGTGTTTTCCAACTACGTGTTTGGGGATCAATGAGGTGGTTGACCGTAGCCTCCTCCTCTACCAGTTTCTTAAGACTCACCACTTTGAAAGTAGTGGGTGTTGGAATCCACCTATCATGCCACACTTTAATTTTGGAACCGTCACCAATCCTCCATCGCGAACCAACTTCAATCACTTTTCTAGCCTCTAAAATGCTTCGCCATGTGTATGATGGCCTATACCCCAACTTGGCACTCATAAATGATGTTGACGGGAAATATTTTGCTTTCAAGACCTTGTGAAGCAGAGTATCAATATCATGAAGGATTCTCCATGCTTGTTTGGAAAGCATCGCCATATTAAAGGTTCTCAAATCCCTGAAACCTATACCGCCTTGGTTTTTGCCCTTACACATCTTAGCCCACTTTACCTAATGAATTTTCCTCTCCCTTTCCTTTTGACCCCATCAGAAATTGGAAGCTAAAGACTCCAAATCATTGCACAAATATTCTAGAAGCTTAAAGCATCCCATAGAATATATTGGAATTGACTGGACCACTACTTTAATTAATATTTCTTTGCCTCCCCTTGATAATAGCCTATCTTTTCATCCTTGTAGCTTCTGCCAAACTTGCTCCCTCAAACTAACAAATACCTCCTTCTTAGACTTACCCATCACAGAAGACAATCCTAGATATTTCTCATGCTGCTGTACACGGGAAACACCGAGGATAGATTGCATTTCTCTTGCTCTTGTCTCTGGCACATTGTTGTTGCACACCATAGCAGATTTTTTCAAGCTAATTTGTTGACCCGAAGCTAATTCATATAATTGTAGAACCTCCTTAACTACAACCGCTTCCGTAGGTATAGCCTTAAAGAATAGTAGACTATTCTCTGCAAAAAAGAGATGTGAAAATCCACGACCCACACTAATCCCTGAGATAGTATCACTTCTTTCGGCATCTTTAAGTGACATTGACATTCCCTCTGCGCAAAGAAGAAAAAGGTAAAGGGACGGGGCAGCCAAGGTAACAAACCCTTGGATGTGACCAAAGTCTTCCCACCCACTGCAAAAATATCCGCTTTAAACTATAGTTACTGATTTGGAAAGGGTTGAGCCCATCACCACAGTCGTATCGAGGTGCGATCAGATCTTCAACTCCTTCTCAATAACATCTAGTTTATGTTACAATTACCTCAAACGAATTCAAATATGCAACCGTTGAAAGAAGAGCGAGAGTCTTATTTAGGGATGTCAAACGTGTCGGGTTGAGTTATTTCGTGTTGGGTTGATTTCGAATTTGTGTCGAAAATCCTAAAACCCGAACTTGACTTGTTTAATAATCGTGTCAAGAAGTGAAAATACTAACTTGACCTAACCATTAAACGGGTTATCTGAACTCAATCTATTTGATACTTTTAATAAACAGGTCATTTTCGGGTTAACACATATAACATGACATGTTTAACACACATAACACAAACTTATTTAACACGTATAACATGTTTTCACTCTTGTTCATTATCATTAAATATACAATTCAATCATTCATTCAAAAATTTAAATAATTTTTTCACAAATAATATATCACATCTTATCAATGAAATTAACTAAAATGTATTCAAGTTTCAACTCAAAAATTAAAGTAAGAATTATATTAGTATACTATCATAATAATGTTAAGAACTATATTGTCAATTATTATAATAGAAATAAAAATTAATAAGTAATAATGTTAAAATCACATCAGTTATATATAATATGCAAATTATACTATCATAATCGAGTTAAACGGATTTGTAATGAGTTAGGTTGGATTCATGTCGCAATTATATTAACCCGTTTAAAATATACATGTTAATCAGGTTAAAATAGGGTTGATCTGATTTTGACATGAACTTGACATGATTATTTTTCTATTAAGCGTGTTGACCTGTTTTAACCTATTGACTCTTTTAATTTTATATCCAACCTATTAATTTTATGTTCGGTTTACACTCACGTGTTGTATCGAAAATTGGAAGTTCTAGTCTTCTCCTAACTACCGAACTCAACTCCACTATCACCTTGGTGGTGTAAAAGAGGGAACATAAATCATAGCGGAGTGTAGCGTAATTTTAAAAATTGTGACGGTATTATTTAAAATTATAGCGTAACATTGCTCTTTAAAATTATCAGAAACCATAGCGGCGATCAGTCTTATTTTCCGTCGTGAAGAAGCTGCGTCTGATGAGTAGGGTTGTAGCAGGGTTCGGTTTGCACCTCTCCCCCTTTTCTCTCTTTTCCGTCAATTCAGAGCTTATGGTTCGTTCTTCGTTATCTCTCATCGATCTACAGTAGCTAAATAGAAATAGCAACCCGTTATTTTCTCTGTTTGAACTATAAGTAACTAGTTTGGGTGGTAGCTTTTTTTATTTTCATGGAATTTATTCCAGTGGATCAGAACAGAACAAATTTCTGCTTGAGGAAAAGGAATTTGTGTTCTTTTTGATCTATTTCCAAGATTTAGGACTAATTGTAATTCTGAGTTTATCAAATTGCTTGAAGAAGACCTGTATTCATATGTTTTTTTTTGTGGAAAAATTTACCAGAAACTATTACCATTGGATCAAATAGAGCAGTACCATTGGATCAAATAGAGAAGTAGGATACTTATATATTGGTTTATAATTTTTTGAAAATTGGGGGTTTTCTGTGTTACAGAGAACGCTTGTGAAACTTACATGTGCGTATGTTTGAGTATAATGTGCTGAAGATGCTTATTGCGGTCTGATTCTGTAGTGAAATTAACCGGGATACGAATATCTTGTGTTTGATCATTTAGTGTACACTAGGTCAGTTATATGGTACGTAGTTTTATCATAACCAAGCTTTGAAGCTGCAACTTTGTGGTGCGATTTCTCAAACATACCTCCTTGGAAGCAGTTTGCTGATTACACTCTTAATGGGACAATTTCTTCGCTATATGGCAATGTGTTTTGTTAATGGAGGGAAGCACCAGTCCTCGCCGTCTCACCTTTATTTGGCTCCCTGCTTGTAATGCTTGCTTTGGGATTTGTGGCTGTGAAGTAGCATGTATTTTTTTTTTTTGAAAACAATGATTGAGAGTATGTTTAGCTGATTGCATGTTTGTTTTGATAGAATATTAGATGGAGGTACTCCAGAAAGAACCGACAGTATTTGCAGTTGAGAATCTGAAAGATGCTGGGATTGGGGAGTTTGATGTGGAGGCTTCTGAGTCTGAATCAGACTCAAAAGGAGATGAGGATGTGAAGTTGACTGAACCTTCAAAGAAGAGTGGATAAACAAGCTTTCTGTTGATATTGATCGAGAACAAGAGGTGGATGTGAATGATGACTTGACGCAGGAGCTTGCTTTTTATACACAGGCATTGGAGGGTACAAGACAGGCCCTCTTGAAGTTTCATTCTATGGGGCTTCCTTTCCTAACGACCTCTGTTTTCTACACTGAGATGGTGAAGTCTGATACTCTCATGGAGAAGGTTAAGGACAGGCTCTTAGTGCTGCTCCTGGGGATCGATCCGGAGGGAAGGCAAGACAAGGAGGTGGAAAGGGGAAGAAAGGATCTGATAAAAACAGAAAACATAGGGAATTCAGGGATTCCAGGTTTGGATTTGGAGGCAGGAAAGGTTTAAAAAAGCAGAACACTGCCGAGACTACCAATGATTTTAGAGGTCTCAACAACAGATTTCTCTGGAAATAAGAAGAGGAAGAGGTGATAAACATTTGTCTGATTTAGACTCATTCAGTTGTGAATAGTATGGACAAAATTAAGGGCTGTGGGCAGTTAGAATTTCGCATAATAGATGAAATGAAAACAGATCTCTACCGCAGTGAACTCGTATTCGTCGAGAAGGTGGATCCGACAACCAGGAATGAGTTGTAAGGGCCAAAAGAAAGCCTAAGGAGTGGTGATGAATTGTTCGTGGGGCTGAACCGATGCTGGTGGCTCGCAAGGGTTCCTGGAACACAGAAAACAGGTTAGAAGTGCGCCGGAGTGTCGTCTGGCGTATCCCCTCCGACGATTAATTCAATTTCTTGAGAAAGAGGAAGATGAAAACACTGTATGGCTCTTGAAAGGTAATTTTGCGTACTTTTGTAATGTGTTTTTGAAGACTATCTATACCTTCAAAAACTCATCATTACTGGTAGTCTAAGCAGTAGGTAGTCTTCAGAGATGGAGCAATGTGCCTCCTCTTTTGCGTGGGGAATGTCCCTACATTAATTGCTCGGGCTCTCGATCGGTTAATGCTCTTTCTCCGATATAAACACTTTAAATGCAAGGGCCCAGAACATTTAATATCCATTATCTTCGGCTTCTCAAGTCACTGTGGATGTCACATCATTTGGAGATTCATTAAATATTTACCTGGAATAGCTGCATATTAGCAGGGTTCGATCTATCCTTTTACCCTTTATCATGTACTTTATGTCATGCATCTGATCCTCTGTGATTGAGTGTCCAGTTCATTATGTTATTCTGACTTCATTGTGCAGAGTGTCATCATAGTTCATAGTCTAGCTTAGACTGTTCAGTTGTCAGCCACTAGTCTCCCCAGAAGCTGAAAATTAGTATTTGAGGGATCAGGGTGAGTACCCTCGGGATCGAGGATATTCGGCTCGCCCTTGATGTGGTGGATACCTCGGAGCCGAGGGAACACGTCTCGGAGCCAAGGAACATACCGGTCAGAACAGGGGGGTCTTGGGATTGAGGACACGTGGACTCGACAGAGGCAAGGAAAGTCTTTCAGCGCCGAAGACACGTGTCGTTGATCTAATACTCTTGTAGAAGTGTCCCATCATAGTGGTTTGTGAAATTTGTTTAAAACCAGTTTTAAATCTTTGAAGGACAAACGAGAGATACTTTGACCTAAATTAGCGTTGTTAGAGACACATTCAATCAGCATAAAGATTGTGGACCAAGTATATCCCCGCTTTCATAATTTTCAAGGTTAAAGGATTATTTTGAAAAACAATGAGCCGGGTATTTGGTTTATTCTTATGTAAAGTTGAGTGGTTAATTTTTAGCCTCATAAAGTTTTATCTACTTGGCTCCGTACTTTTTTTTTTTTTAATGGTCAGAAGTGTTTGGACCAACTTACGTGTACCTCAATTAATTTTCTCTTCGATTTGGTCAAAAACAGATCATTCATGTTGAGACTAGTGTATTCATATTTTTCATGGCCTGATTTCAGACCCCAAAAAATTGTTAAGATTCGAACTCAAGATGTTTAAATTTATAATCTATCCTTATTACCACTCACGGTTGACATATGATTTTATTGCATTAGAGGACATGAGAAATTTAGAGTTGCCATGTGATGTTCTTTGGTGGTTACAACGACTTTGATTAAAATAATGGAAGTCTACATTTAAGTTGGTGTGGAAGCTTCACTAATGCATTGATGCATGTATGATTAAACTAAAGCATAATATGTCAACTTCACATTAGCTTTCACACCACACCTCATGAGCTAGTCCTTAAATTATGCCCAAAAAGCTTCCTCTGCACACCCTTGTTCCCACCAACAAGCCTTTAAAAGGCCTAATACCTCCCATTCTGCTAAAACAACACAAACCCATCTATACCTCAGCCTCATAAGTTGCTGGTCTTGCTCAGATTTTTCTTCTCTCTCCACTTTCCACAACAATGTTTAGTTCCACATTTGAGTTGATCACTCTGGGTGCTTCCAATTCTGCCGTCGTCTTTTGTTTCTGCAATTTGATCATAGCCATTCTGCTCGTTGGTAGCTCAAAACCCGGCTCACGCCTCAATGAAGATGATGCTATTCCTCCTGCAACAGTTGCCAATGGAAACCAGAGTGACACGGGAAGAACAAATGTCAATATTTCATTTGGAAAGAAAAATGCATTGACAGACAGCAGCGAAGTGCCGTATGTCAACGTAGCAGTGGTCAACGATCATGAAGGGAGTGACGATGAAGGGAACGACGATGAAGAAGATGATGAGCTGAGGAAAAGAGTGGAGGAGTTCATTGAGAAAATCAACCGAGGATGGAGAAAAGAGAAAGGCTTGTAACACAATCTGGTCTATATAACTAACAGTAAAAAGTACTAGAAATTAATGTTGATTGAATAGATGAAGTTAAGAAAATTTTTCCCAAATCAGGGGAAAGAATGGTAATGTTTTGTTTTTGTTTAAGTTTCTTTTCATCATTGTCTCTTCTGGAACAGTACTGTATACGCGTTCATGACCGGAACATCTTAATGAATGAGATGTTGATTTGGTGATAACTATTCTTAACCTTTTTGTCATATGACGCAGCGGAACAAAGAGTACAAAGTACGCTACGGTTCTTTTATGTATCAAATCAAAAGTCACACTCTAAATTCATATAAAATATTTTAAAATATAATATTATTCAATGAACTCACAATATAAATAGAAATAATCAAAACTCTAATTGTTCTTAAAATAGTAGCAAAATTCTTAAAATTATGAAAAATACCAAAAATAAAAATATATTATTTTCTTATTTAACATAAAAGCACGTGTCGTCTGAAGTCCAACGCAATCGACAACGTTGAATTCGGAATCTTCTATGACTTATTATTAGGATTAATTGCATTAGAGGTCTCCAAAAATGAAGTTTATTTCATTTTAGTCTCCAATATTTTAATTGCATCATTTTAGTCCTTGAAGTATTGAATATGTTTCTATATGGTCTTTCAAGTAGATAGCGTCTAGATTGCTAACGATTTTTTATCATAAACTTGTCATGTGATACTTAAATATGGATAAAAAAATAATTTTGATAATTCTTGATCAAATTTCTAACTCAAATTTTGGTTAAATAGCTACTCAAATTACTCAATTTTGATAATGAGCTATCCAAATTTTGATCAAAAGCTACTCATATTACATATTTTTTGTCAAGAGCTACCCAAATTTTGTTTCAAAACTATCAAAATTATTTTTATCCACATTTAAGTATTATGTGACAAGTTTATGATAAGAAATCGTTAGTAATTTAAATGTTGTCTGCTTGAAGGACCATATAGAAACATATTTAATATTTTAGCGATCAAAATGATAGAATTGAAATATTAGGGACTAAAATGAAACAAACTTCATACTTTGAGAACCTCTAGTGCAATTAACCCTTATTATTAATTTTTGAAATCTTTCCTAAAACAGAAAAAAATAAGATTTTGAGAGTTTAAACGATAAAAGTCGGTCCACTGGTCTCACTGAATTCCGAATAGGCTTCTGCTCCGTCTTAGAACCAGACATCTTGAATGAGCCATTCTTCACCTAAAACCTTTTGTTAGTAACAAGAAATGACTTCAAACTTAAAATATAAGCTCACATTGTTCAGGAAACAACAATTTCAACATCTTTGTCCTCAATTCAATACTCTTAAGGGTTGTTTGTTACAAGGGTTTGGGCGGGTTATAGAAGGTGAGTTTAAAAATATAGTCCAATCCCTCACCTAAACCCTTGTTTGGATGCAAAAATTAAAGGTTGGACTGAAGTCCTGGGCCGGACTTGGCCTGCTTTTTAAACTCATGAAAGTGGGTTTCATTAATCCCGGGGGTGTGGGTTTCGAAGGGCTAAACAGGTTTGGAATTAAAGATTACATTTGTATCCCCTTAAACCCATTTCTTGTCTACCCTATACAGATATGAATATACTAGCACTTGTTGGTTTATTAGCACAAGCATTTGAGTTTTGTGAAAGCAAGACAGCATGATCCCATTTTTAGGGCATCATTATGCTTTGTCATTTAAAAAAAATAATTTTATTGCGCTTTATTATGGTTATGAATAATAATTATATTTTATCAACATTCATTGTTTTTTTCATAAGTTAGGAAAAAAAATTAATCATACATTTAACTCATAAGGACACAAGTAAATGTATGTAAACAAATATGGGTTTAGACTAAATTGGTTAAGGGGCAAAATAGTTATTTACATACAAATATATTATCATAATAGCCATATATCCCTGCTCATACCAAACATGAGTATGAACAACATTAAATCTTGAATCTCATCTTTGAATCTTATCTTTGGGTTTGGAAGAGATTAGACAAACCAATCCAAACTCATCCCAAAAAATATACCAAACAGGCCCTTAGACTATGTACACATCAAAGAAGCCAATAGAATTGACTTATCAATAATGGATAACAAGATCCAAAAAGCTTGCCAAAAAAAAAAGGCAAAGAACAAAAACATTGTCAAGATCACCTGCAGTTGGTAATAATCAATCTTGTATAATTGTCCTTAGATGTGTCTTAGGAAGCACAAAACCAGCTCTTCTTTCCTCAAAAGAGTACTCAATCTCTGCATCAATATCTTCAACTGGATGAGCGCTGTAAATAACTGGAGGAGCAGGGGTCATGGTGGTCTGCATTGAAACTGATACGGTTGAGGGCGTAGATGGCAGAGGAATTGACATTGTTTTGGGAGTCCTGTTTTCTTCATCTGCAGCAGAAATTATCTTGAAAGGAGTAGTACATGGTGTAATTTCATTTGTAAGTGTTTTCTGCAGCATTTCTTTTTGTTTTCTGTTCAGACCTTTCAATATATTTGTTGTGTTGGACTTTGATGAATCTGTGGAATAAATAGGCGAAAAGGGCTGGCGCAGCATGTGTGACTCTACTCCACGAGCATTAACTGCATTGGAATGGTGCTTTTTTGCAGGAAGGCCAGCAATGTCCAAACCTTTCCTTCCTAAATCAAAAAAGTGAACTGAAATAAAGGTTGTGGTGGGCAAGACATTGAAACAAATAATATATACAATTGATGTTAATTGAGCCTTATCCTTGTAAGATGCAGATACAATACAAATTATTCATCACCAAAACCCAACTTCTCTTACCTACACAAATCATTGCTATCTGTAAAAACTGATATGAACACAAATTTTCAGGAAGTAGGTAGATTGCATGTCACTAGCATTAAATCTATGCAATACACCAGTGCAGTTTGTGTCGCATTTCCATGAGCAAGTTTTCGTCAAAAGGCATTGTAATTCAGTCAAAGAGGACTCGCACAAACACATTTTTTTCTGTAGTGGACGACTGAGATTTTTCGTATTATTTCAGAGTGATGAACACTGAAAAGATGCTCCTAACCACTTTCTTATATCTAACCAAACAAGAAAGCAGCACATAAAAAGGGGTTGGAGACCTAGCCCCACCCAAAAAAAAAACCCCACTAAAGATATTGAAATATAGTAAGACATTTGAAAGAAAATTACCAGCTGATAAAGGTGCAACTCCGTTATCCCTGGGGTGGTTAAATTGGTCGTTTTGGTGAAGACGAGCATTTTTCCTACTTTTGTGCGTATTGGGAATAGCCCTTGTGGAGTGAAGCAGATCAGGTTTAAGAGTTTGCAGCCTTGGTCCTCCTAAAGAAAGCATTTCGTTGCTTGCACCACCACAGGACAACCTAGGACCTCTTTTCCCACTCTGATTCTTCATAGGGCTCGGTTTAGACCCAAAAAGTGCCTCCTGTTCTGCTATTAGCTGTCCCTGAAGTTTCTTCTGGTCCTGAAATAGAGAAGGTTCATGCAAAGACAATGTATTCGACAAGAAAGCACCCATATCAAGTCCATGATGAAGTATATAAGGTACATACCCTCTGCCTTTTGTGCTCTTCCTCTTTTTCTTGCCGTAAAATAGTGTACTCTTCAAGCATGGAAAGAAGACAAATCTGTACAACAGATGAAGAGGAGACAGTTCAATATGTTTTCCTGAAAAGTACCAACAGGTGGACTAACTTAACTCTTTTGAGATAACAAGAAAGCATTCAATGCCATCACAATAGGGAACCACTTACACCATCATAAGTGAACTCAAGGCCTCTCTCCTTTTCCCATGCAGTGGTTTTGGAAGCCAATGCCTCCACCAATGCTGTCTCGACATGATGCAGAGAAGAAAGATGAAATGAGTATACAAGCTGTTAAGAGTATTAGGATAGTATATGTAAATAGTTAATAGTGTTAGAGTATTATGTGTAAATACAAGAGGGTGTGTATGTGTAATTCTTATGATTATGAGTTACCTATAAATACAAGTGATGTATGAGGGCTAGGTTAAGTTTTTAATCTCTCTCTGTTTCTCCCAAAATATTGTCTCTAATATTATTATGTTAATCGTCCAAACTTAACATGGTATTAGAGCAATACGATCCTAAATACAAATATTAGTGTGAGTTTGTGTTGTGAAAATTACCCTTGGTTGGTGGTGCTACTGTTGAAGTTCAAGCGTTGTGGTGGTGCTACTGTTGAAGTTCAAGCGTTGTGGTGGTGCTACACAGTGGTTGGTGCTACTCTGTGGTGGTAGTGCTACGTCTGTGGTCGAGATTTTGGCTGTGAAACGTTGTCGACTAAAGGCCCGATATCAACTGTGGTGGTCGCTATGGTGCTGTGGTGGCTTCTGCGGTGGTGTCGTGATGTGTGACGCCGTCGAAGATCAGATCTCTGGGAACCCTAATCTCAACAAAGAAGAAGAGATCCAACGGGTTGGATCAGATCAGGTCAAGCCCATCATCCTAAATTATTTTAAGTCCAACCCATGGTCTAACCCAAGACTCGGTCCAGCTCAGTATTTTGAAAAGCTCGCCTAGGCGAGGCGAGCTTATCTCGCCTAGAGGACCCCAGGCGAAGTAAACGTGAGCGAAGCGAGAAAAAGCGAAAAAGCGAACGCTTTATTTATTTATTTATTTTTTTGATTACAGGTTAGTAGTTTCTTTTATTTTTTAATCACTAATGACTTTTTTTTTAGACTATTGTTGATCTATATTTTTTTTTTTCTAATAAACAATGTTTCAAACAAAACACATTCCTTTTTTTTTTCTTGTGTTGCTGAATTCATTTAAAATATTTGTGGGATGTGAGAGTCAAGCGACTGCATGACAATTATGATAAAAAAAAGGAAGCAGGAGTATTAGGAATGGGGGTAAATAATAGATTCTTCTACAAAGAAGTGTCTCTGATATGTCTTGGTTATACTTTTCCCTTTTCTTATATATATACAAATGGTACCAAAAAGTGATCTATGCTTATACCATGTTTAATTATTTTAGTACATGTGAAATGTGCCCCTGTTCTGCTTTTTTTTATTCAGTATATAATTACATATGAAATTGTTTACAATTGATTCTGCTCCTGTCATGATCATTGTGCTTCTGTTTTTTTTTAGCTCATTCTGCTTCTATTTTTTTTTGTTGATTCTGTTGCTGCTTCGGTTTTGCTGTCCTGTGTTGCTTTTGTTTTTTTTTATCCTCATTCTGCTTCTTTTTTTTTTGTTGCTAATTCTACTGCTGTCTTGATTTTGCTTCTTTTGTTTTCCTACCCTGTCAATATGAAAATGTATACAATTATTAGTATTTGTTTGAATTTAAATGTTTAAGTTATGACTGTTATTAAGATTTGAGATATTATTAGTGTTTGTTTTAATTTAAATGTTTATGATTTTACTTGCATTTAAATATTTAGTATATATAAAATTAGAACTTAAATTGTTTAGAAATAATTAAACTAAAATATATTTTTTTTTTAACTGTTCGCTTTGCTTCGGTAAAGCGTGTCGCTTAGGCGTTAAGAGCCTTGGTCGCTTCGGTTCGCTTTACGCCTTAAATAACACTGGTCCAGCTTAGACTGGTTCAGTCTAGTTCAGAGGTCCAGAGAATCCAGTCAGTCCAGTCAGCAGTCCAGAGCCCCTAGCCGGTCCGGTTCTGTCTTCCAACAAGTCCAGCGGGTCCAGTTGAGCGGTCCAGGAAGTCAAACCGATTCGGTTTAGTAGTCCAGAGGGCTCAGCTAGTCCGGTTCAGTGGTCCAGCTCCTTTTTCAAACCAGTTCAACCTTCCAACAGCCCCTATCTTGACCGGTTTAGTGGTCTAGCCCCCTTTTCTTCTGGTTCAGCATACAAGGTCCATTTGTTATGGAACCTGTTAAGTTGAGATAATTAACATAACACAATATAAGAGATAATAAAGAGAGAGGTTAAAAACTTAATCTAACTCTCACACCACTTGTATTTATAGTTAACCTACAATAATAAGAATTACACATACACCCTCTTACTATTAATAATTTACACATATTACCCTACTGTTCTTAACACTCCCTCTCAAGCTGGACTATATATATCATATAATCCATGCTTGGAACAAATAGCTGTAAGACGTGTACGACTCAATGCTTTGGTAAACATATTTGTAAGCTGATCTTCAGATTTCACAAATGGAGTTGTAATCTCCCCAGCTACTATCTTGTCCCTAATAAAGTAACAATCAACCTCAATATGCTTGGTTCTCTCGTGAAACACAGGATTGACAGCGACATGAATAACGGTCTGGTTGTCACAGAACAACTGTAAAAGAAGTTGAACTGAAAACCAATTTCCTGGAGGAAGTGTAGTAGTCAAGTCAACTCACTCATCGTATGTGTCATTGCCCTATACTCAGCCTCAACACTGGATCTTGCTACCACAGGTTATTTCTTGCTTTTCCATGAGACAACATTTCCTCCTAAGAAAATACAATAATTAGTGGTTGATCTCCAATCAAAAGGAGAGTCAGCCCAATCAGCATTTGAGAAACCTTCCACTCTAAGATGTCCATTAGCTTGATATAACAGTCCAAGTCCAGGAGCTCGTTTGAGATATCGCAGAATACGAGTAACTACCTCCCAATGTGGTAATCTAGGACATCTCATGAACCAATCTGAGATAATTAAGCTTTCTAACCAATCTGCGATACCGACCCGGATTCTCCAACAATATACCATCATCCATCAATAATTTCTGATTCGGATCCATTGGAACATCAATCGGTCTACCACCCAGCAAACCTGGGTGTCATTGCCCTATACTCAGCCTCAACACTAGATCTTGCTACCACAGGTTGTTTCTTACTTTTTCATGAGACAACATTACCTCCTAAGAAAATACAATAACCAGTGGTTGATCTCCAATCAAAAGGAGAGTCAGCTCAATCAGCATCTGAGAACCTTCCACTCTAAGATGTCCATTAGCTCGATATAACAATCCAAGTCCAGGAACTCGTTTGAGATATCGCAGAATACGAGTAACTGCCTCCCAATGTGGTAATCTAGGACATCTCATGAACTGACTTACTATACTGACTACATAGAAAATATCCGGTCGAGTAATACTGAGATAATTAAGCTTTCTAACCAATCTGCGATACCGACTCGGATTCTCCAACAATATACCATCATCCATCAATAATTTCTGATTCGGATCCATTGGAACATCAATCGATCTACCACCCAGCAAACCTGCTTCTTCAAGCATGTCAAGTACATATTTTCTCTGAGATAAACAAATACCCTGTTTAGATCGAGCCACCTCAATACCTAAGAAATACTTGAGTTTTTCCAAATCCTTAATATGAAATCGATCCTGTAAGAATATTTTTAACTTGACAATCCCCTCAAAATCATCTACATAGACCACCAATAGGACATATCCAGCATCTGTCTGACATCGAAGAAGACCAAACTCTAAAACTGCATCTGAAAATTTACCAAACCATGCCCTCGGTGACTGCTTTAAACCATACGAAAATTTTTTTAACCGACATACACTCTTACCATACTCCCCCTGAGCAGTAAATCCAGGTGGCTGCCATATGTATACCTCTTCAACCAAGTCACCATTTAGGAAGGCATTCTTGATGTCTAACTGAAACAAAGGTCAATCAAGATTAGCAACCAAAGAAATAAAGATACGAATAGAGGAAATTTTAGCAACAGGAGAAAAAATTGTCTCATAATCAACACCATAAGTCTGAGTAAAGCCCTTTGCAACAAGTCGGGCTTTAAGACGCTCCACAGAACCATCTGGATGAAATTTAACAATATATACCCAACGACAGCCAACAGTTCGTTTACCAGAGGGTAAAGGAACAAGATCCCAAGTCTCATTTTGATGTAAAATATCCATCTCCTACACCATAGTTTTCCTTCAACTCGAATCAGATAATGCATCCTATAAATGCTTAGGGATAGATATAACAGATAATTGAAAAGTAAAACAGGAGAAGACAGGAGACAAGGCATCATATGAAACAAAATGAGAAATGGGATGATTAGTAACACATGAATGAATACCTTTGCGAAGAGCAATAGGTAAAGAGTCTAAATTACCTGATATACCAGGATCAGAAGGCGACAAGGAAGACGGTACAGGCACCTCAGTCGATGGGCGAAGACGACGAGAGTAGACACAGAGAGGTAAAGTAGATGGTAATACAGTGGGCAGCGGAATATCTGAAGATGAGGAAAAAGATGGTGGTACAGGAGAGGATCCAAAGGCTGAGAAGGTGCTGAAAAGTATGGAACAGATTCTTCAAATGTGACATCGGCCCTAGTAAATTATCGGTGCAGAGAAGGACTGTAGCAACGATACCCATTTTGCATACGAGAGTAACCAAGAAATACACATTTGGTAGCTCGAGGGTCAAGTTTGTCAAACCCAACACCCAAATTGTGAATATAACAGACACAACCAAAAATTTAGGAGTCAGGAAAAATAAGGGCTTACCAGGAAAAAGTACAGAATATGGACTTTGCCCATGTAACACAGAGAATGGCATACGATTAATAAGATGATAAGTAGTAAGAACAACATCACTCCAATAATATCGGGGAATATTCATCTGGAATAACAGGGTACGGGTGACTTCCAACAAATGACGATTCTTGCGTTCAACAACGCCATTTTGTGGAGAGGTGTAAGCACAAGAAGTCTGATGAATAATGTCAGTTTTACTAAAATAAGCTGAAAAAGTATCAGATTCATATTCTCGAGCATTATCAGAACGTAAAGTACGTATACGACAACCAAACTGAGTTTTTATTTCCTTACGAAAAGTCTCAAATATAGAGAACAATTTAGACCGAACTTTCATAAAAAATAACCAAATCACAC